AAGCATAAATAAACAAATTCTTCAAACTTTTTAAATTAAATGCTCAAAGTTACTTTGTAAGTAATAGTGGTCTTTTCTCAAATTCCCTTAGAACATTTTAACATTTTAAAATGTTTGTCGTGGCTTGAACTACTTGTTGTCGCAGTTTTGTAGACCACAGATTTGAAGTGACCGCATAAGAAAAAGTCTAATGGTGTCAGATCTGAAAATCTTGGGGGCCATTGTTCTTGATAATTCTATAATTCGATAAGCCCTATCAGCTACTACATAATGAGATGGGGCATTTTTGAAAATGTAATACCAAATACAAACTTTGTGTGTAGTCTTATAACTTCTGTAAAAAATCAAGAATTTGTACGAAATTCTCAAGGTTTACTAAAAAATGTATGCTCTATCCAAATATATTTACAAAATTTTTATATTTTCTGACACTGCCCCACCATCAAACATTTTCAAATGTATTGCCATAACTCAATTACAACCGATATCTTATTATGCTAAATCGGTCTAAATGATTCAGTAAGCCCCCTTAATAGGCCCTAAATAGGTAATGACTGCTTGCCAAGGATTATAGTATAATAATAACAGGTTGGACCTTGGTCCTTGCATTACAAGAGCGTGCACTGTACACAGGTCAACCTTCCCTCCCCCAGAATTTCCCCGAGCACGGCAGGCGGTGGCTGAAATTTGTTATTAAGGGGCAGAAGAGTCCCGAGGGAGAAGGGGATGCTGGCCAAAGAGAAAAACTAACTACCAGTTATCGGCATTATGTTAATATTTAATTCTGAGTGCTGTCAATAGAAGTTTATTGATTAATTAGGTGAAAATACATGGATTTGGGGCGATGTAATCTTATCATCGAGAAAATTGGGGGTTTATTTAGTTTCATCTATATTTTAGTACAGAAAATAAACATTATAACGTAATTGGGATAATTTGTCATCAAATTTTACTTTATCGTTATTTTCGCCTATAAAAATCAGGATATTTTAAGAAATGAAAATATTTTACCTAAAATTTTGTAAAGGCAATATGTAATTTTTGTTCATTTCAAAGGTCCCAGTTTTTTTTGTAATTTTTTATAGGAAATTTACTACAATTTTGCATATATAGTCTGTCTACTGAAGTTGTCAACGTATGGGAAACTTTCTTAGTATTAATTTAACAAAAAAGTTATTCTTCATAGTTCTAAAATATAAAATATATTGTATTATATATATACAATTAGTTTTATTTATATGGAAAAAATCATTTTTTTCTTTTTTTGTTTACAATAACAATACAAATGTAACTGTATGAAACTCTGATAATTTGGACCCCCCTCCCCCTTGAGATTTGGTGAGATGTGTTAGACCCCCCACTATCCCTCACGTGAGATTCTCTATGAAATTTTCGTACAACATAATACACCCCAAAATCGAAATATATTACATATTCTTTAAACTCAAAAGTTGACGTGAGATTATTAATGACCCCCTTTCTTAAAATACGATTTGGTGAGATTATGGTTGACCCCTCCCTCCATTTTTATCTCAAGAAATTAATGTCCCCAAAAAAAAGATTTGTTGATAGCAAAAATAAATTTTGTTTTGTGAGAAAGTAATACTTTTTGAAAGGAACGGAAAGGTTATCATGTTTGTAAAAAAGATAAATGTTCGGTATTTGAGAAAAATTTGAAATCATTTTTTTAAGTAGAAGGATGTAATTGCATATTATACATAGTTTTTCATTCCGAACAAATTCATATTTTTTGTCAAACCTCGTATAAGACTGAAAAAATTTAATATCTCAGATAACTCAGATAATCTGATGATTGTATTTTAGATTTTAGAACTTTTTATAAAGAATAACTTTTTTTCGTAAAATTAATATTAAGAAAGTTTCCCATATGTAGCCAACTTAAGTAGACACACTGTATATATTTAAAAATGAGTTTTATATAAATTGATACAAATCGAAAATTTATACGAGGTATGTTCAGAAAATATCGGGAATTTTCGTTTTTTGAAACAAATATTTATTTATTTGTCTACATTAATGTTGTCGCCTTCAAAATAGTCCCCATTGGATATTATGCACATGTGCCAGCTCTTCTTCCAATACTCGAAACACTTCTAAAACTCGATCTTTGGGATAGCCTTTAGTTCTTTCAGCGATGCGCTTTTAATGTCATCTATGCTTGCAAAACGACGGCCCTTTAAGGTTCTCTTTATTTTTGGGAATGGGAAAAAGTCAGACAGAGGCATGTCTGGCGAATATGGAGGCTGGTGCATCATTACAGTATTGTTTTTGGCCAGAAATTTTGTTCAAAATTTAACAATTTTTCTGCCACGCGTTTCATAAACAAAACATTCGAAAATAATTCATAGGGTGAGCCAATCGATATACCAACATCATCAGCGACTTCTCTGATGGTTTATAACCATTTCTTCCACTTTTTCCATGTTTTTATCGGTTGTTAATGTGCTTGTGCGTTCGGGGCGTTTGTCATCTTCAACGTCTTCACGGCCATCTTGGAAACTCTTGTTTTACTTATAGCAGACTCACTATAGGCCTTTGTTAACATTTCACAGAATTTATTTCATTTTTTAAGCAAAATTGGATACATATTTTTTGATCCATTTCTTTTAACGAACGAAAAATCGCCGAGCTCATAAAACACGTCTAACCTTAGCGGCTGCCACAGACAAAGTAAACAATGAAAACAGCTAAAGTTTTTATCATACTTCGGGGGCATGTAAACCAACATAATAAAGAAAATTTTATGACAACCGGACCCTCCGAACCCGCGAAATTTAACAATTTCCGTTATATTCTGAACACACCTCGTATTTATTGAATTTGGGCTATTTTTGTGTCAAAATGTCCAAGGGTAGCATTTCGAACATCCAATTTGATGACGAATTAGGAATTTATTGTACTAAATAAATGAAAACCTTGAAAAACAAGAATGATTTGATAATTAATTTAATTTAAACGTTTAATATCTTAGCAACCATTGAACAGACTTTAGATGTTAGATATGCATTGAAAAGAGAATCTAAAAACCTTTTAAGTAAATGAGGTATTATAATACAATTGTACACAAGCCCTCTTTCCATTTAAAATTTTTAAGTTGATTCAATTTGACGTCAATTTGACGTCAAAAAGTAGTATACTAATATCCTTAACAATGGTTTTGTCCGATGTCGATACTTTAACCCTTTCATTTTTAAAATTAACATTCTTATTTCTTCTTTAATTCACTTAAATTATTATTATTGACCGACTAATTGCCTCAATTACATCATCAATCATTGCCTAACAAGATACGGCATGCCTAAGTACAGTCTTTCACATTTAAATTGAAACTATTGCCATTAACATAAAAAAATTAATATAATTCAATTCCTGATTGTTTGGAGTTACATTGTGAACCAATTTTAGTATTCCAGCCTGTGATATTAGACTGTGGGCGCCAAAATATTATAGTGAATATCTCAAAAACTGCATTATCTAGAAAGTTGAAATTTTATGTAAATGATAATTTAGTTATTAGACCAGGGTCGATAATTTTTGAAACCAAAAAAAATAACAGTAGGATGAAACTCATTGGAAAAGGAAAAGAATATAATAAAAATGAAAGGAAAAATAAATTACGGGCGATCTGACTTCGGGAAGTGGGAGGGGGGGGGTTTTAAGGGTAAAAAATTGTTTATCTCGATTTCCGGCAAAACTACAAGTCCTATGGAAAAAAGTTAAATGGCAAAGTTGTAGGTAATAAAAGGATCTACAACTTTTGTAATTGCAATTTTTTTACATAACCTCAAAATTTATGTAAAAAATTCAAAAAACCAAGTTTTTGGTTTTTTATTTTTATCTTTTTCATTTGAAACAAAAACTTTTTCCACGAAATTTGCTGAAAACTTACCTTTTTATGTCCCAAATACACTGTAATTTATTTGATTTGAAATACTTATTATTTCGCCTTATTTTGACTTAATATCAAAAAAGCACCCTAATTTTCAATCGAAAATTCTCGCGTCAAAATATCAGCTTTTTTCAAAAAGTCGGTGTGCTTTTTGTTCGTTGAAATCTCTACTTTCTGATGGTGTAAAAAAAATATACATTACTATGGTAAATGTTCTCAGAAAATGCAAAAAATATTATAATGAATAACGAAAAAAACTCGAATTCCAAAATTTATTTTAATCATTATGTACAATTTCATCAAAAAAATGTGATTGTTGCAATTTTTTTTATTAATTTATTAAATTATAATAACATTTATGTCAGAAAATCTCATAAAATATAAAAATACATGTAAATCATACTATTGAATTTAGATACTTCATTCTGATTACGTTATTCATTATAATATGTTTTGTATTTTCTGAGAACATTTACCATAGTAATGTATATTTTTTTTACACCATCAGAAAGTAGAGAGTTCATCGAACAAAAAGCACACCGACTTTTTGAAAAAAGCTGATATTTTGAAGCGAGAATTTTCGATTGAAAATTAGGGTGCTTTTTTGATATTAAGTCAAAATAAGGCGAAATAATAAATATTTCAAATCAAATAAATTACAGTGTATTTGGGACATAAAAAGGTAAGTTTTCACCAAATTTCGTGGAAAAAATTTGTTTTTTGAAAAAGATAAAAATAAAAAACCAAAAACTTGGTTTTTTGAATTTTTCACATAAATTTTGAGGTTATGTAAAAAAATTGTAAATACAAAAGTTGTAGATCTTTTTATTACCTACAACTTTGACATTTAACTTTTTTCCATAGGACTTGTAGTTTTGTCGGAAATCGAGATAAACCATTTTTTACCCTTAAAACCCCCCCCTCCCACTTCCCGAAGTCAGATCGCCCGTAATTTATTTTTTCTTTCATTTTTATTATATTTTTCTCCTTTTCCAATGGGTTTCATCCTACTGTTATTTTTTTTCTCTTTTTACCATTTTTAAAGGCTTCTGCACTGGTCTATTGGTTTAATATTTCAAGGTATACTTACAAGGATGGGAAGCGGTGAATGGGTACTCTAACGTTGGCAACCGTGGTTGCGGGGCCCCTGGATGCAAAGCTGGCGGACAATGGTAGCAGAACATCCCTCTGCCACCCCCGCCAGATATCTAAAACAAGCAAGAAAAAAAGCGAAATCAAAAGAAATTCCACTGGCGATTTCTTCGACAGATACGCACACTTTTTGTGTGACCCTTAAAACACCAACGGGTCGTCCGGTTTTTTCACTCCGAACACTTGTTGATGAATTCAAGATTTTTTCGTTTGATAATTATGTTGATTATTAAATGAGCATAAGAGATTTTAGATTGGTTTGTTTAATTTTCGATGAGGAATTCACATGGTTTTAATACGTACACTGTTAAAAATTTATAAAATTTGTGTTAAAAATAATCCGTGTTAAATAAAATATGTAAAAATTTACATAAACTTCCTAGTGTTTATAATTTTATATGTTACTTGATACAAAAATTATAATAATTAAAATCTTAAAATTTCAAAAGATTTAACAAACATTAATGTGTTAAAAGGTCCTACACAAATAAGAATGTTAAATAATAATTTTTTGTACATTGTAGTATAATAATATCACTCACAGGCAAAATAATCGATCCACACAAATTTTCGATGAATTTCAATCGCAAATAACTTTTCTTTTTGATTTCGGATTTAAACAAATATTAAAGAATATTGTAGATACATTAATGGAGAATCGCTCACATTTTAAAAATTACTAGAAAATACACGTACGTTTATAATATACAGGTTTAAACAAAAATATGTTTTTTACCATAAGTTTAAGACACTCTGTAGAGTGGCAAAACCGTATATTGTTCTAAATTAAGTTTTAATTATCAAGTCACATCTATTTTTAACAGTTTTGTTTTTGGTTCACATTGATATATTTATTTTTGTGAAAAATATGCATTTTTTTAAAAAAACATTGCAATTTACAATATTTTTTCTGTATGAAGAACTAAGGTTGCTATGGTCCATCCATAGCCTATTGAGGATGACAGTGGCAGTTTTGTTGAATCATCCCATACTTGGACATGGCATATACCTACAGCTTTCAAAAGCTATCAAATTGTTTTTTGTAAATTAATGTGTTAATTTTGAGGTGTCTTCTTACTTTTAAAAATGTCTCCGACTAATGTTTGACGTTTAAAACACTTGCCACGTAATACTGTGACCGTCCATCTTGGACTAAATTAATGGCTCTGGCAACATCAGTCGGAGACATATCCATTTTTTAAAGTAAGAAGACACCTCAAAATTTAAACATTAATTTGCAAAAAACAATTTGATAGCTTTTGAAAGCCGTGTATGACATGTCCAAGTATGGGATGATTCAACATAACTGTCACTGTCATTCTCCATAGCCTATGGATGGACCATAGCAACCTTAGTTCTTCATACAGAAAAATATTGGAAATTGCAATGTTTTTTATAAAAATCCATATTTTTCACAAAAATAAATATATCGAGGTGAACCAAAAACAAAACTGTTAAGAATAGATGTGACTTGATAAATAAAACTTAATTTAGAACAATATACGGTTTTGTCACTCTACAGTGTGTCTTAAACTTATGGTAAAAAACATATTTTTGTTTAAACCTGTATATTATAAACGTACGTCTATTTTTTTGGTAATTTTTTAAAATGTGAGCGATTGTCCATTAATTTATCTACAATATTCTTTAATATTTGTTTAAATCCGACATCAAATAAAAAAGTTATTTGCGATTGAAATTCATCGAAAATTTGTGTGGATCGATTATTTTGTATGTTAAATATTTTACTGTGTAGATTGTACTAGCATGTAACGGCGCCAAACGTCAAAATTTAGTCTTGAGGTAGAGCTTTAAGGTCAAAACTGTCAAATTTACCATTTTTTTCAGTCGAAAGTGAGGTTAGAACCACAAAATAATTTTTCAATTGCCTTCATCTGATAAATCAATAAAATCATTGGTTATATATTAGAATGTTATTCAATTGAATAAAAAAACAATCAATCAATTAGTAAAATCAAATTCAATAAATCTGGGTATGTTGTGTGTACTTATTGAGTTAATTTTTTCTAATTGAAATCATGATTTTTTAACATGTCTCTATTAACTGTATGAAGAATCACCCAGCCACATTGGTCGATCTATTTTGTTTTAAACCTGTCAAATCTAGATACCTTATTAGTATGCGGTTACCATGGCAAACATTTTTGCCATGGTAACCGCATAGTTGTCATGGTAACGGGTAAACAAAGAGCTCTAGATGCGAAAATTAATTTGCTGAATATGATTTTGAGGCTTAGCGATTAATTTGGACTGGTAAATAATTAATTCGGCGTTGCGAATTAATTAATTTACGAAAATAATATTTAAACAATAATACACATTAATTTATTGGCAGAGAGAAATTGAATTATTCAGGCCCGGTTATTGAATTAATAACAATATTAAATGGCTCGAATTTTCAGCATCCGCCTACGTTTCATCGACGATTTTATTATTATAATATTAAATATGGCGTAAGCGACATTTGGTATTAGTATTTGTAGTGATCTCTTTAGTATTAATGATTTTGCTTAGTAGAATGTTTGAAAATTTTTCATTTGTGAGTTATTAATAGTTGGTTTCTATGGTAACTTTTTGCTTTTGACATTGGCAGTGACAGTTCTTTATGAATAAAGAAAATATTTAAACTCTTAAAACAAGCTTAATTTACTTATTGTTAAATTTAGGTTATTTCAAGAATTAAAAAAATTTACTACCTATATTTTTACTCCCCTACAGTGTAATTATTTAAAACTTCGTATTAAAAATAGTTGTGTTCCAATTTAGTAAATAGTTAAAATCAAAAACAAATAATCGAATTTTAATGTTAACATCCATTAATTATTACATTAAACAAGCAATAAATTATCCAATCAATCGATACGGGTCCGGGATTTAATAAAATCGCATTTAAATCAATAAGGGTCCAATCCATAGATTATATGTCTGTATTAATAACCAACATAAAAATCTTATTAATAATCTTATTTAGGGATCACTCAAAGGGGTCATTGCATATTCAATTGTCATCAATACCAATATACGGGGTGCCCGAAAAGTTTGTAAAGTTATTTTTTTATATAAGGTAATTTTTTGTCATAAAGTGATTTTCAAACCCATAAGTTTTTGACAGGAACTTTCAAATTTAAAGCGATGTTATAACTCAAATGAATGAGAATGAGAAAAGTAGATTTTACACATTTTATGATATCTTTTTAATTGGTATAGAATGCAATATAGAGTCCAGAGAATTATTAGACAATCCTACACTGTCGGGCATATGTTAAAAGTTAAATTAAGTGCAAATTAATTTTGATTAAGTTAACTGTATTAAGTAGATATGTGACATCAGTGCTATAGCACATAGACGCAAACATAATGTAAAATCTATTAATATCTCTTTGCAAATAAATGTTTATTACCGATTTTAACCAACTTAAATTTAAGTTAACTATAGTTATATGTATACGTATACGTATATATAGTTATATGTATACGTATAGTTATATGTATACATATATACGAGGTGTGTTCAGAAAATAACTGGAATTGTTAAATTTCGCGGGTTCGGAGGGTCCGGTTGTCATAAAATTTTCTTTATTATGTTGGTATACATGCCCCCGAAGTATGATAAAAACTTTAGCTGTTTTTATTGTTTACTTTGTGGCAGCCGCTAAGGTTAGACGTATTTTATTAGTTCGGAGATTTTCGTTCCTTAAAAGAAATGGTTATAAACCATCAGAGAAGTCGCTGATGATGTTGGTATATCGATTGGCCCATCCCATGAAATTTTTTGGGTATGAAACGCGTGGGAGCAAAATTTGTTCTAAAATTGTTAAATTTTGAACAAAATTTTTGGCCAAAAACAATACTGTAATGATGCCCCAGCCTCCATATTCGCCAGACATGCCTCTGTCTGACTTTTTGCTATTCCCAAAAATAAAGAGAACCTTAAAGGGCCGTCGTTTTGCAAGTATAGTTGACATTAAAAGCGCATCGCTGAAAGAACTAAAGGCTATCCCAAAGATCGAGTTTTAGAAGTGTTTCGAGTATTGGAAGAAGAGCTGGCACATGTGCATAATATCCTATGGGGACTATTTTGAAGGCGACAATATTAATGTAGACGAATAAATAAATATTTGTTTTAAAAAACGAAAATTCCCGATATTTTCTGAACACACCTCGTATTTGCGACAACTGTATTTTTTGAATTCTCTATTTTTTGTTTCATGGTTGTTTTAAGTTTTCATTGCGTTTTTTATTTGTCAAAACTAAGCATAAGATCTACATTTTAAAACAAATTCGGTTAAAATCGCACAATAAATAAAGATAAATTTAGTAGATTTTTTAGTAACATCCTGTATTTTGCGTAAGGTAAACCGATCATAGGGGTGTCTAGTGGTTAATTGTATTAAAGTTGGTATCCCTTACTACGGGTAATAATTATGCTTGTTGGAACAAAGAGGTTCAAGAAGACTATAATATAATTTTTAAAAAAAACAAACATTTTTATAAACATCCCAAAGACAAATTAAGTTTCGGCGATGTATTGTAGTATGTATATCTCGTTTTATTACGTAGGCATTAATTTATATTCGCAAAATTGATTTAAATTGTTTAGGCCACCCCAAATCTTTTTAACAGGTCGCAATTGAGTTTGCACCTAATTTTCACCCATTTGAGCAGGATGCTGCCCATTAAACGTATGTATATCTGTACCCAACGTGTATGTACATTTATAATATAATATTTGTGTGTGTGTATGTGATATACACCGTTCAGTTAGGTTGTGCGCAATTCTAATTGTAATGAGGTTAATAAACTAACCGCTGGATAAAAGCAAAACACTTGCACCAAACGGCATGCCTTTTATTTAAATTTATTACCACTGTCTAAACAAATATAGGCGTCGGTAGGTAATTTCCCAAGTACACCGAAAAAAATAATGTAGGTAGTTGAGTTAACGTTTGCCTAAATGTCATTTTTGAAAATGTAGTTTCATCAAAAAACCTATTGGATTAATCTATATTTTGGTGTCAAAGCAATAGTCAGAGTT